GAGGGGGAAGCAATTTGATATTACTTCAGGATTTTTTAAAGGCAGGAAATGTACTTCTGAAACAGTGCCAATCAGTGGTTCCCAGTAAGAAGATATATTAGAATATTGAGGAAGGGATGCATTTTCAAACTATACCTTTGCCCTCCACCTTGGCTCCCATCAGGACTCTAAGGATATTCTAATCTGTACCCTACCACCTCCATAAAAATAAAGCCTCACTGAGCCATGGCACTAATAGGAGTAAGTGATACAGCCTAGGGTAGGAAAAAGAGAACCACTTGAATTATTACTTATAGAAGTGCCATGGACAAATGGACCACTGTAGACCTTTGAATTTTGTTAATGTCCCCTCACTCTGGCATGGTTTTAACTTCTGGGGGCACCAACTTTTCACTGCTCTCTTTAATGTTGTTTCTTTGTTCATGATATGCTACCTTCGAGGCTCTTCAGCAACCAAATCCCTCAACTAGAAATAATCTTTGCTCAAATACTTAGTATTCCATTTATATCCTGTACCATTTATCTTATTATTCAGTATATTTGTATTATTTCTTTACATAGCTTATCTCTGTAGCCAGAGCACAAGCTACCTGATGGCAAGATTCATGATTGATTCACCTTTGCACTCATTACTCATATGAGTATTGTTAATAATAATAAACAGTAGATGTCTTATATATGTTTATCAAGGAGCAAAGGAATAAGTAAACGGAATCTCAGATCTTAATATTCTGTGAAAATATGCAATGCCATTATAGTTACAATCAGGTAAACTGAGTAAATCACTCTGAAGAAAATCCTTGTTTTTATCTGTATAGGGAAAAGCAGGCATTTGACTTACATACACTCACACAAACTTCATGTTTTCAATTAGAATTTCAGTGTGTAGCTAAATAATTTTTCTTTAGGGGGTGGGGGATAGACTTTTTCTTGCCAATTTCATATTCTCATATCAAAAAAATTAAGGTAACTTTCAGATGCATTTAGTTTACTGTAATTTCACAAATGCCTGGTAATCTAAGTGTTTTACATCCATCATCTCTTCACAAAAGCACAGTAAAGTATGAAACAGAATTATTATATTACTAATGAGGAAACTGAGGCTGAGAGACTAAATGACATAATGGTCATAGAGCTAATAACTGGGGGGATGCTGAACTAATTCAGGGCTCCCTGCTAACAAAGCCCAAGTTTTATCTGCCATGTTATATTAACTCCACTTAAGAGGGAGATTTGAGGTTTGTTTTTATTTTTATAATTATGTGAGTTAATGAATATTGACCTGGAAGAAAAAGCCTTTTAAGTTAGCCATCTACAGGAATAGCTAAACATGTATGTTTCTAAGTTAGGTTTTTAAAAAATTTCTATCTACACACTTTTTAAAAATCTTAAGTCCATTTACCTCTCAAAAAGAGTCAAGATGCCACCTTAATTACTTTAATCAAATAATTAGACTTTAGGTTTTATGTGCAGCTTTCCTAGCAAGATACATTGCTGTGAATGAGTTTTGCCTCTGCCCCTACAGCAATCGTAATCTTCCTCCAATAGGCTTTTTAATTAAGAGTCCAAGCAGTGATATGCTGTTGCATCACCAATACAGGTCTGAAATCTCCCCCAGTATTTACTTGAAGAATGTGTATCACCTCACCATGATAGGAAAGAAGCACTTGACCCTCCAATGGAAGTCATATTTTCCTAAATAGGTATTTTTACATATACTATCCCATTAATATATTTTAACTTTCACAACAGCCCCTTAAAACTTAAACCGTCATTTCCTTTTACCAGAGGAGGAAACTGTAGCTCAGCAGAGTGACGATGGCTAAAAAGCGACACAAGATCATAATAATTGGGGTAGAGAAGCAAGTGGACCAAGGTGGGGCTGATTCCAAAGTGCAGGTTTTTTCCTACTCCTCTAATATAAATACAATGAAATTATTTTTAAAAAACTATGCAAAAACACTGGGGAAAACTCAACCACAATTCCAGTTGCTTAACAGATTAATTAAAATCATAGAGCTAGAAAGGATTTTAGTAATCTAGTCCAACATCCTTATTTTATAGATAGGGAAGCTGATGCTTAGGCATGATGATCACTTGAGATCACATAGCTAGTTAAGAGGTAAAGCAATGATTCAGACATAGGCCTGACTCCAAGTCCAGTGATTTTCCCAGTAGACTGCATTGCCATTTCCAGAGCTGCCTTACTAACTTCAGACTTAGCCACGCACCATGAATATTAATGATATTGACAAGATAAAGCCATAGGTCTGGACTCTAAGTGTGTATTTTGCTAAACAGCCTCACCAGTGCCCTGCTTGTGAAATTCATCCAGGCACCTGCTGTTTCATATCTGTAATTTGTTTTGAGATCCCTTGAGGGGCTGCACATCCTGAGTGCAAATCAGTATCCTAGTCAGGTCAGGGTAGAGACCTGAATCTCATACTAGGCTCTGCCTTCCATTTCCTCCTACAGAACTGGATAACACTTCACTTTTAAGAGGCCATTAATTAGTCCAAGATTAAAAGTACAACTACTTAAGCGTCACTTGCCTTACCCACAGGATCATTGTGAAACTCAAGCCAAATTTATCCTACTGATTGAAATAATGGGAGTGCCCCTCTGCAGATTACTGCAGACTGGAATGTACACTGGGATTGACCCTCACAATCATTCAGACCCTGCCTATACCTAGCATTTGGGAAAGTCTAGGGTAATAGAACACTAGATTTCAAATACTTCACATAGAAAAGACTATGGAATAATTTATGAATAACATTTATCAAGTCTTTTCTTTCCTAAAGACCTGGCATAGTGCCTGGCCCACAGTAGGCGCTCAAAAATTTTGGATGAATCACTCACTGCTCCAAAACCTTAAATTCTATATAATTACTCAGAATGATAAAGGAAAATGGGCTTAACCAACTTGCAAATCAGTTGTTTGCTACTAATTTTTTAAACACCTTTTAAAAGAGCTTGTCTGAGAATTCCTTTTTACCCAATATAAGGAGGCTGCACTGGGAACACTCAGCTTACTGGAGTCACTCTCAAGTCAGGTAAAGAACTGAACCAATTAAATAACTGAGGACATACTCTATATTAGGCAGCATGTTATGTACTGGTAGCAAGTAGTTAGTTAGTCCCAGTAAAGCTCAGAAATACGGACAAATAATTGCAACAGTGATTTATACAATAGAAACATGAAACATGTAGAGATAGTATTTGTACACTTGTGGCTAGGGGGATGAAATGCCTGAGAAAGGTTTTGTTTTCCAAATAGATCCTGTAAAGCAAGAAGGTAGGCAAGAAGGCAGGCATTGTTTGGTGTGGTTGGACTGCATCACGCCACCAGGCACTCTTTTGAGCAACTCAGTAAAAGCAGTTAATAGGAGCCATCATTTGAGCACTCCAGGGATGAAGTATTTTCACATGTTATCTCACACCCTTTCCTGAAGGCAGGGATCATTTTTGTCATTTTTCGGAAGAGGAAAGAGTTAAGTGACTTGTCCAAGGCCACATGAGTAATAAAATGGATGGGAGATTAACAATGCTATATAGTTCAATGGTTTTCAGAAAGTATTCTGTAGCTTCACAAGTTTTGCAATGGTAGCACAGGAAGTGAGAAGAGAAAGTAGGCGGTTCTCCAGCCCCACAAACCAGCTTCAATCAGAGCAGCTGCTCTTTGATATATGATAAAATTGCACACAAGACTTTATCTGGATAAGGGTACAGCTGCTTTAAAGAAAAAAAAATACTATAATTGAGCAAATTAGTTTCTTGGGGTCTTATTCTCCAATTTAGTCAACATGGCAGATAATTAAAAATTACACTAAGCAGAGCCTAAAATATTCATATCAAAGGGGGAAAAGAAACGAAAACTTTCAGACAACACTTGGCTTCTACTGAGCTAGCACACAGATTCCTGCTTTACTTGAGGACCAAGAAATGAGTGTGGTTTAGAGACGAATCAAAGGGGGAAAAGAAACGAAAACTTTCAGACAACACTTGGCTTCTACTGAGCTAGCACATAGATTCCTGCTTTACTTGAGGACCAAGAAATGAGTGCGGTTTAGATACGGGGATAGATCTAAATGCTGAATGCCAATCAGTGATAGCACTTCCTTTCAGAAGCATCAGCATCTGGAAGATTCCTGGCCTCATTTATGTCAAGCCAGCCCACAATATTATGCTCATTTCTCTGCTGTGAACTGTGTACCACAAGCTACTGTTATTGCCTCAGCAAGACCCCCACTGACAGCAAAGACAGATCTCCTGCTGCCAGGTGCCACCACAGATAAAGTGGCTCTAATAACTAGTGGAGTCACTTGTGATGCACTTTTAATTGGATCAATTTCCTTTCAATTACACAATCTTTGAAAATCGGATGCAATTTCATAATCAGAACATGGGGCGTTCTCTAGGTGAAAAGCACAAGACAAACTAGTTCAACATCACTTTAATTACCTCTTTACCTATCCTTTGGCAGCTGTCACAACAGAAGCAAAAAGGAAAAAGAAAAACCACTGCCACTGAAAAAACAATGTTGAGTGGCTTAGCAAACTTTGTTTCTGTGAAGGCAGGGGAATAGCTCTTCGGCTTGCCATCACCCCTTATACCTAGAACAAGATATGTTGCTTAATAAACACCACAGCCTGAAGAACCTTGTCACAAATTGTCACCCACTTCTGTTCTTCTTAAAAGCATAAGGCTATTTTCCTTTTTTGAACTGTGATTACAAGGATAAAACATATGGCACAGGCTCAGTTTAGAACAGGGTGTTGGTGACTCTAAACCTTGGGGGCTGATTCTGTACACATGTATGTGGGAGTGAGATTTGGATTATCTTTATATAATGGTGCTTTGGGCTCAAATTTTGATCTGGGTAGATCTCTGTGCTCTCAAGAATGCAGTGTCAGATAAGGAAGCAAAACTGCATGGTACAAGTCATGCCTCTCTTCACCTCCCAAATTCCATATTTAATTAAAAGACATGAACACCAATGATGAAGAAACAGTTATCAATTATTTAATGCTTGAGAGAAAAACAGAAATCAATCCTGAAACCAAATAGTATGCACTCACTTTAAGAAAATGCAGAATAACAACCCAACAGTCTTGTTGTTTTTTTGTGATGAAATGAGATGTGTCCACCTTGTCACTTTGTTCACTCTGGCCTTTGTTGTACAATTCCTCACACAACTCTTAGCACAGATCAGTGGAGAGAAGTAGTATGAAAAATGAGCCGAGAGACTATCCAAGTTTGCTGACTATATTAGCATTTGTTCTCTTAGACCCATCTTCCTGTGCTTTGGCATAATTCCAATCCATATGCTCCTTTAAAAGGCAAGCAATTTCCTGGCTGACATCTTCAACACTGATTAACTAGGGTCAATCCAATTCTCTGTAACATCTGCAATGAGAAACCACTCCAAGATGGCACAAATTCCCAGCTGAGAGGTACTGCTTCCCAAAGGGACCGGGTATCTCCTTTGGTGGGACTAAATGAATGAGCCTTCATACTGGTAAAGGTGATCAGACCTGAGATGTTATGCTACAGGGATATGATGTCTGAAATGTCACTGAAAGGAGGCGATCCCACTGGAGCATGTGCAGTGAATGCAACCAGAGTTGAAGAGAAAGTGTCACAGATGAAGCACACTATAATAGGAAGGAAACAATGGACTAGGGACATCAAAGCCAAAAGGGAGAAAATCAACAAGGATTCAATACAAGGGCAAATTTCAAACACAGGAGCAATAGGCTATAGTGGCTCTCTACTAAAGCCTTGGATGTGCCTAATTTCTAATCAAACTTCAGCTAACACTGTCGTGTGTCCTATTTGGGGCAATGCATCTGTAAAAGCTCTAAATTTAGGCAGGTGAAAGGCAGAATAACAAATAAAAAACACCAAAAGACAGAGCTTCTAAAATTCTAGGACTACCCAGCTGGAATCAGGATGTAGGCCAAGTCTACTCTATAGTACCACCAATAACCAATGGCTAAGGGAAGGGAAGTTGGCTGGGGAGCAGAAGAAACTGGTCTCATCCCTTAAGGAGTGGAGTATCTTCTCAGATGGTAGCTGTAAATCTTGATGCAATGATCCCAACAGTCCAAGACCAGCAGCTGCCCCTTAGGAGTGAGGGCAATGCCAACTGGACAGGTAAGCCCTTCTCGAATAAGGACACTATAGCCCCCACCCTTAGGAAAATGGAGAATTTCCTTGCGGCTACTATCAGCCACAATGAGATCACCACGAGCATCCACACACATGCCAGCAATGCAACGGAAATCCTCATTCTCTGAGAAGAAATGGCTAATCTGGCGACCCAGCTGCCCATCGGGGCCCACAGAGCCAATGGAGAAACCGCCCTCCAGATGGTGCTCATTTTGCCGATTCTCCAGATTGAGGCCCAAGCCCTGGGTAAAGTAGACGGTGCCCTCAGCATCACAGGTGACAAATTTGGGACGCACAGCACTGCAGAGGCAACTGTATTTAACCACCCCTGCTCCTCGGTCAACAGTGAAACACCAAAGCTTCCCCCCTTCCACATCAGTTACCACAAACTGGCCAGATGGCAGGGCTGTGATGCCCCATGGTTTGCTTAGCTGGCTCCTGTGACAGGCCACGCAGTGGCCATCCAAGGTATATACTTTGAGGGAGTTGTCATAGCTATCAGTCACACCAATCAGCCCCTGGCAGTTCATGGCCACTGAGAGAGGAGTGAGATTGGGCAAATCAGCCCCAAGAAAGCTTAGTACAAAGCTATCAATGCCGCTGGGGCTACGGCGGATTTCCTTCAAGAAACCTTTGCGGGTAAAGACTTGTATACGGTAGTTGCCACGGTCAGCAACCAGCACCTCGCCTTGACTGGTCACGTAGAGGCTGACTGGAAGATTGAACATGCCTGGCGTGCTGCCTTTGGCCCCCATCTTCTTGAGGAAGAGGCACTGCTGGATATTGGTGGCTGCCTCAGGACCCCGCTGTTTGGCAGGAGAAGCCCTAGGGCTGGCAACCACTTCCTCGGGGCTCATGTCCATCTCTCTAAATGTAACAGAGGTAGAGGCAGCAGAGGCTGCATCCTCCATGGCCCAGGAATCTTCCATGTTAACTGTCCGGGGCTTCTTAACAGCCTGCCCAATTTGGAGGGGGCCAACATGGCCTACCTTCAGGAGCTCTACATCTTGCAGGGTGAGCTCCCGGGGCAAGCTGGCAGTGAGCTCTGGCTCCTCCTCATCAGCTGTCTCCTCCAGTAGTGCTACATCGGCCTGCTTGATCTTGGCAAGGAAGTAGTCACAGCGAGACACAGCCTGCACCTCTGCAATGTTAAGCAGATAACTCTGCTCCTCTACCACTTGACTATTGGACTTTTCAACTTCAGCCAAAGAGCCCGTGAAGAACTTCCGCGAGCGAGCCAGCTCGTCCTGGACCCTGCGCTCCTCATGCCCGTACTCCTGGAGAACTGCTTTATACCTGGCCTGAAGGTCTTTAGAGACACCTTCCAAGGCTACCTTTCGCTGCTGCAGCTCTCCCATAAGCTCCCGCAGACGGGTCAGCTTCTCTCCAAAGTCCCGACGCCGCTCCTCAGCTGCCTCTTTGACAGGGAGTGTACAGTGGCCTGGAGGCTGGTGGTCTGCCTCCCGGCAGGGCTCACACAACACCAAACCACAGCTCCGGCAGAATTGCCGGGGAAGCCGCCGACCACAGGACCGGCACATGAGCAGCCCCACAGCCTCACTGAGCCCAGCTGTATCAATGATCTTCAGCACTGTCAGGTTGTCTGTCAGCTGGGTCAGGCTGGTTATACGGGTAATCTTGCTGCAAAAGGGACAGCGGACACCATTGATACTACTGGCCAGTAGCTTCTCCAGGCACTGGCGGCAGATAGACCGGCACATGAGCAGCCCCACAGCCTCACTGAGCCCAGCTGTATCAATGATCTTCAGCACCGTCAGGTTGTCTGTCAGCTGGGTCAGGCTGTTTATACGGGTAATCTTGCTGCAAAAGGGACAGCGGACACCATTGATACTACTGGCCAGTAGCTTCTCCAGGCACTGGCGGCAGATAGTATGGCCACAGTGCAGGAGCTTGGGCCGCAGTTGCTCTTCTGTGAAGGACTCCATGCAGATGGGGCATTCCAGAACTTCCCGGAGGGCATCCAGGTTCAGGTGAGAAGCTGCTGCTGTGGCCATTGCTCTTCCTTTGAAGGGTCCTGCTAGCACAGTCCAGAACTGAATAGCTTAGTATTCATGCCCCAGATGGTCAAATTCCTGCTAAAGAGAAAAGGAAACCATTATTCATTTTCCACTGCCTCTATAAATTAATTCACTCAAGAAATATTTACAGAATAGTTATGACCACTCATTCAGTCCTTCACTTATTCAATAAATATTTTATTAAGGTCTACTGTGTGTTAGATGATAGTGACACACAGGGAAACAAAACAGACAAAGCATTGCATAGTGAGTAAGAATTCAGGTATTAGAGTCTCAGGCACTTAAGTCTCAGACCTTAAGGAAGTAACCTAAACTTCCTAAAGCTCAGTTTTCCCATCACGAACCTGTAAGATAGAAATAATAATGGTATGCCCCTACATGGTTATCATAAGGGTTAAATAACATGATAAATATGATGCACTTAGTATACTTAGAATAAATGCTAGTGCTTATTTTCCCATTTTGTGAAGTTTACAACTCATAATTTACACTAGGAGAAAAGCAAAGAAAAAGTATGTACAGTAAAAGGAATAAGTATAATATGGAGGGCCACATGATATTCTGTGGTAGTGGATAGAATGGATTCTACCTAGAGGAATCGGGAAAGTCTTCTCAGAAGTGATGCCACTCCTAAGATATGTCTTAAAAGAAATGTGGAAATGAGGGATAAAGGTATTTTAAGCAAAGAAAATTATGTAAGGAAAAGGGGAGGAGGCATTTTTTTTTTTAAATCATGTCATAAGAGTTTATTGTGTCATGTTTGGGGGCCTAGGAATCATGTAGAGAAACTGAAAATTAAGGTGATTAGTTTTAGGTGATCTTCAAAACACTGAATCAGAAAATACATATTTTCTATTCATCTATACTCCTACCTACTCACCTATCCACCTATCTAAGTCTAGGTATCAGGTACAGTACTAAATACTAAGAGGTTTTCAGGATATACATCCTTCAATTCAGGTGCTCAAACTTTAGGAAAGGAAACAAGACATGTAGGTGAATAATAATCAAAATAGAAGGTGGTATCATAAATGAAAGTTTGATGGAGGTTGAGATAGATCCATTACAATTTAAAGAGAAGCAGCATTTTCAGAGGGGAGAAGACATTTGATATGAACCTGGAAGGATGCATAGGTATGGGGGAAAGGAATACCAGGCAAAGGGTACAGCCTTAACAAAGATTAGAAAACAATGGAAAGGACAATAAGTTTTGTTATTAGAAAGAGAACAGAGAACTGAACCTGGAAGGATGCATAGGTATGGGGGAAAGGAATACCAGGCAAAGGGTACAGCCTTAAGAAAGATTAGAAAACAATGGAAAGGACAATAAGTTTTGTTATTAGAAAGAGAACAGAGAATACTTAGCTTCTCTGTGTTTTATTTTCCTTATTTATAAAATGGGAATAACACTGCCTTTACAGGATTAATGTAAGGATTAAATGAGATAATATATGTAGTATATAGAATGCTAAGATTTGGCTCTGTACCAAAAAAAGTCTTAAATGATTTTTAGTTCTCTTTTTTTCTTATCCTTAGGTTAAAATCATGGGAGAATATAGGAGAAATAAAGTAACAGGCTTGGAAAGATAAACTGGGGAATGATTACATACAGTCTTCAGAGTCAAATGAGACTTTTGAACTTCAATTTGAAGGGCACGGTGAGGCAATGAATATTCCGGAGCAGGAAACTGATATGATCGAAGCTTGAATGGAGGTGGAGAAACAAATCAGAGAAATTAGTTTGGAAGCTACAGCAAAATAGCCTGGCAGAGGTAATGGGAGTCTGAACTAGGGAGCAGGTGGTGGAAATGGAAAGAAGATGCATTTCAGTATTCCAAAAGCATAACCAGTTAGATTTGGAAAGCTGAGTGGGTTATGATGGGGTAGTGGTAAACAGCTAAGATGACCAAAGAATCAAGTCCAGAGGATTTAAAAAATAGTAGTGCCTTATCAAGACAGTTTACTTCTGGCTTGGAATACCTCATGCTTCACTCAGTACATATTATGAACACTCCCACCCTCCTCGATACACATATGCTCATGAAGTAGACCCAGGGAGACAGTGCTTTGCAGCCTTATGTCATTGTCAACTTATACCGAAATTAGAATGAGTAACTCTAGCAAAGTGAGGCATATGGATAAATTCAGCCTTTCTTAAATGCAAATGCTACAGCTACACCTGTGCAGTCTCATGATATGCAGCCATCAAGAAGAAGGTGGTGGAGGGTAAGTTAGCTTGTTTTTAAGGACAGTGCAGTTAGCTGAGGAAAGCTTTGCACACATCATCATCTCTTTCTCCAGGCATACAGAAGGGGATTCAATGTAGAGATACAAATTACAAAAAATTTCCTCCATATTTAACTTTGGAATGCAATCTGACCAATATGCAGCAGTGGACATGCACAGTCTATGTAAAGTCAATCCTACCTTCCTGAAATCCTACTCCCCTTCTACTGCAAAGGAAAAAGTATGCATCTAGTGTCCATCATCTGCTAGATACCATGGCAGATGCTTCATATGATTAATCTCATTTAATCCTCATAATCACACTATGAAGTAAGCAATATTTTTAGTATTTTACTTTATAGATGAGGAAACTAGCCCAAGGTCACACAGCTCAAACAGGGTAGAACCTTGTAGTACAGATATCTTTACTTGCTCAACCCAACATTACTTCAACCTACTTTTTTTTTTCTGTTATATAACACTTATTAATAAGTGTTCTTTAGACCATGTTCTAGGAAATGCCGCCTTATAGTATATAATTTTTTCCACAAGAAAGGACAATAATATAGTTATGAGATTCAGCTACTACAGAATGGGTTAGACTAATTTATTAGCTGAATGACCCACTGTCACATACCAGGCTTGCAACCCATTATGACTCAAATCCATGCCTCAAAATAAATTACCACATATCATGAGCCTATGAAGTCCCATGTGGATACATGAAATTGTGAATGCTCAATTCTTAAATGTCATGGGTCTGAGTAATAGTATAGAAATACTAATAGAAACCTCAACACAGGATCCATGCAAACCTTTTCAGTTTCAGTTTGAACAGTTTCAATTCTCTCTTCTATCATCTGGGACAACAGACTGAGGGTAACATTTGGTGTTTGGATCCAGAGCATGTTACCTTACAATGCACAGGGGCATCTGTTCTTCCCAGAGCTGGCACTGCAGACCAGCTAATTAAACAAGTGTGCCAACTTGTTAAAATACCAGCAAATTCTTTCCCCACCTTCCTAGAATATCATACAACCTCCTCCTTCAATTAAAAAGCTTCCTGCCTCCCTGTCTAAGCCTCAGTTTTAAAAAATGAATTTACTATACCCACAACCATACCCAAATTTTCTCGGCTGACTGTGGCTTCACCAGGCTCTCTGAGGATGTCAAGAATCCCTGCCCTGAAGCTGCCATGCTTTGCCAAGGCATGAGAAACATGAGTTCTCCCGTCACTAATGCATCAGGTAAGAAGATAGCTTCAGATCTAGAAAAAGCCAGAACCACTCCTCATTCTCACAACCCGAGAACATTGTTTTCAGAAGACCCTAGCCTGAAGTGAAGGTAAAATAGACATGCAGATACAGCCTCTCTCTTCCAGAAGGGTGCCTTTGGTCATTATTGTCAGTACTGAAAATGGCTCAGATTGAAGGTCAATTTGGCCTCAGAGGTCACAAAGACCTGTGTAAACTTTAAAAGACTACACAGGTTGGGCCGGCCCTGTGGCTCACTCGGGAGAGTGTGGCGCTGGTAGCGCCGAGGCTGCGCGCTCGTCACAAAGACCTGTGTAAACTTTAAAAGACTACACAGGTTGGGCCGGCCCTGTGGCTCACTTGGGAGAGTGTGGCGCTGGTAGCGCCGAGGCTGCGCGCTTGGATCCTATATAAGGATGACTGGTGCGCTCACTGGCTGAGCATGGTGCAGACCATACCGTGCCGAGGGTTGCGATCCCCTTACCGGTCAAAAAATTTAAAATAAATAAATAAATAAATAAAAGACTATACAGGTGAAAGGAATTGTCTTATCATCCCAAGTCTTTAAGTAAGCTGTCCATTTTATGCTAGCTATAAAATCTATGACCTACCAGAATGAACACCCAACATACTATTTATGGTCTAATGATGAATACTATACAGCCCATACTTCAGCTCCAGATGCAAATCTAGCCCTTAAGCTGTTTCCACTCTGGCTGCTCTAAGACTGAGGAAAATTCTATGATTATATCCCAGCCTGATCTAGCCTCTTCTTGCACCACTCAGCTATCCCCAGTCCATAATATAAGTAACCAGGTTAGTAGAAAAAACAAAACAAAAGACATGAACCTTGAAGTCCACAGAACTGAGGTCAAATCTTAGTACTGTCATTTACAAGTTGCAAGACAGTAGGCAAGTTATTTAACCTCTCTAAACCTATTTTCTTAGATTATAAAATGGTTACTGTGATGACTAGGATAAGCCTGTGACTGGTGGATATGCAGTTAAAAGATGCTATTTACATAATTTTAATAACAATCAGGAACAGTATAACCACTAGTACTAACAAAGCATTCAGTTTACAAACCAAATTTTGAAAGAAATTTTGAAGAACCTTTTCTTTCATGGCACGTAAAGGCACTTAAAGATTAATAAAAGGACTGGTCAGCTTTGGAGAAATCTGATTGAGAATGCTAGACATCCAGGATATAAACTCATGGACAAATGAGTTCACTTCTCTTGCCCAGAAAATAAGCCACTGTAGCTCCCTCTAGTAGAGAATAAATATGGAATGCTAAAATTAACAGTAATTTCAAAGAGTGATATAGATGAGGAAACAGACCAGGTGAGTGAAATAAGACAGATCTAGGACTAAAAGGCAGGAGCTGGGAGTGGGCAGTATTATATAGATTAAGGAAGTGGGCTCAGAAATCAGGCTTTCTGGATTTGAATCCCAGCTCTACCACTTACTGTGCAGACTTGGGCAAGTACTTCTCTAGCTCTGTTTATCTATGAAAAGGGGCTTTAAAATAGTATCTTCCTCACAAAGTTACTACAAAGACTAAATGAGATTATGGGTGTAAAGCACTTAGTATAGTACCAAGCCAGGCACACAATTAACTGTGCAGTAAATAATGGCTTTTATTAATATTAGCAGTAGTAGTGGTGGTAGTGGCAGCAGCAGCAGTCTGAGGAGAAATGAATAGGTACTTTTCAACAGGGATACTGTACCCAAGGCATCAGATACATACATTTAAATAACAAAAATTCTGAGCCTTCCCAGAGATTTTGTTTTACCTGATATCAGAATCAAAAGATTAGAGATGACCTAAAGTTACAAATCTTCACCCAATGCTTGAGTGCCCATCATTGGGTAGTTCTCTAGATATCTCTATTTTCTATACATGTATTAGCTCCTTGGGGGCTGAGGCCATGAGCAAAACTGGAGAACTTTAAGCAATTAATTAAACCCATCTTTACTGAGCACTTACTCTGATCCTGTAAAAGGCATAAGAGATACAATTTTGAGCAAAAACAGACATGAACAGAGCTTTCACCTAAAAACTAGACAACATTAAAATACTACATTTCCTCTCACAAGATATAGGTCCAGCTTAGTATTGCCACGCTTCTGTGGTTTGGGTTTTTTCTATGGTGTATTACATTTCTCTTCATATCAGCTTTCTAAAACTGTATTTATTCCTCATGCTTAAAATGCATTTAACAGAATGCTAATCAAGTATGTAACTATCTCCAACTGTCAAAGTTCGCTTGACATCACTACCTGACATTCACCCAATCCTGTGTGTGGGAGAGGAGTCTGATGAAGTTTCATTACACTAAAGGCACTTAAGGCACCTGCAGACAGCTAAGATAAACTCAAGTCAGGACTTATGGGGAAACACAGGCATGCCTCAAAGTTGGGGCACATAAAATAACCCAGAAAGAAATATGTTTGTGAAAAAAGAAAACTTTAGTTACACATGTCAAGGGTTAAATCAATAACACGGTTTGCTGGAAAAAATGCTTGCCTGTTGTTTCTGTCTTCCTCTAAAACTGCAGGACCTAGGAAGGTCCCCTTGCATTTTCCACAAACATCTGGGTAATACTTATGTTGACAACGTGACTCAAAGAATACAAAATAAGGGCAAAATCAACAGCCTTTTCTCAGGGGACCTTCAACTAATCTTGATCCACTTACCTCTCTTTCAGTTCCTTTCTCTGCAATTACATGTGTTAATTCAATCATGAGATTTTTGATTAAAGGAATCAGAAGCAGGTCCTGGGAAAGGTACAAGAAGGATGGCAGACTGGCAGAGACTGCTTAGGGTTATCAAAATCTGGCGAAGCAACACTCAGTTCCCTTCCAGCATCACCTTCCTCTCACAATTGCTCTCTCTCTTAAAACAACTACTATTTATTGAGTGTCAGGCATCTTTTATACATTATTTCTTATTCTCATAATAACTATGTGAAGTATGTGTTATTCCTCTTTATAAGTAAGGCAACCAATGCTCAGAGAAAAGTAACCTGTCCGAGGTCTCAAAGCTGGTAAGTAGGAGAATGAGGATTCAAATCCCTATGTGTTAACTCCCAGCCATAAAACCACACTGACTCAAAAGTTGTGTTATAGTTCCCTAGATGATTAGACTACCATTACCTCTCATCAAAGTCTGGCTGAGAGGTTGGTAAAGGCACCTAGGAGTGATTTTTAAATCCGATTATTCTACCAGAAAGACATAATGGAGGGAATGTTACAAAGGCACATCAGAGAGCACGGACAATGATCCACTTCAAGTGCCTTGCAAACTTTTGGCTTAAATCCGATTATTCTACCAGAAAGACATAATGGAGGGAATGTTACAAAGGCACATCAGAGAACACGGACAATGATCCACTTCAAGTGCCTTGCAAACTTTTGGCCTCCAACTACTTTCCAGATATAGGGGCTCTTCAGTGTTGGCAAAGCCCTTCTAATCAAACTAGTGTAATGTAACTCAATTCCTATTACATATTTTCCTTAGAGGTGTGTGTGGAGATTCCAGCTAAGTCTCTTGACCTCAGATCCAGTTCAGCTTTGTTTCTGAACTGGCTTCATCAATGCTGTAGCTAGTTCTGGAGCTCATAAGAACAATGCTACTATTCTGTCACAGGGGAAAGAAACCTAAAACACATCATTTAGAACAGTAGTTACTCTTTCAGAGTATGACTTCCTTCAGCCTCAGTCCCTGCTATGTGTTTTTTCAAGCCAATGGCTTCCATACTTCACCCATAGTCCCTTGCACCTCATCATGCCTGCTAACCTGAAGTTTCTTCCCTTATCTACCCACTGGTTCTGGGCTAAGAGCAAACCAAGAACAAAGTCCAGGGCTCCTCCCTACCTAATCAGAGAGATTTACCCTCTTTAGAGTTCAGTTTGATATTCAGTGATAGTTATGGAAAAAACTCAATTCATTAGAAGGGAATGGGCTGAGAAAATAAGGCTAAGTAGGTTCTAGTAAGAAAGCAGCAAGGAAAGAGAATATACAGAGTTACAGAAATCTGGATATGAGCTTAACTCTGCTATTCCCAGCTATGGAACCTTAGACAAGTGACTTCTTAAGCCTCATTTTCCTCATGTGTAAAACTGGATATAGTAGAGCCTACTTAGAAAGGCTGTTATGAAAACTGAGTAAGAAAGTAGATATAAAAACTAAAAATTACTAAATTTTGAGCACTTGCTATGCACCAGACACTAGGCACCCTGATTTTACTTCACTGAATCCTGACATTTATCCTATGACATAGGTCCTGTTATTAACCCCATTTTACAGATGAAGAGCCAAGGCACTGTAACTCATTCAAGACCACCAAGCCAGGAAGAGACAGAACCAGGATTTGAACCCAACATATATGATTCTTGAACAGGGTCCCTCAATTTGGCACTACTGAAATTTTGGGCCAGATAATTCTTTGTTGTGGAGGCTATCCCCTGCATAAGATATTTAACAGCATCCCTGCTGTCTACCTAGAAGCCAGTAGTAGCCTCTTCCCCCAACTGTTTCCAAACACTGCCAAATGTCCCCTGGGGACAAGACTGCCAGTGGTTCAAAACCACTGCTTTAGAGCCTGGCATGAGACTAAATGCTCAATATATACGAGTTCCCCTTATTTTTATCTCTTTCCCAGCCCAGACACCTCATTCACAGAGTCGCTGCTTCTCTGAGCTGTAATGGACATTAAATATAGGATTAATTCAGGCTTGAGATAATGTTCAAATCATTGCCCTGGTGGTTGCATACTATCTGCTATCAGCATGGGGGTACAGGGAAAGAGTGCTTCGGCAGATGACCTTGAATAGTTTCCTGCTTCATCCGCTTTGACCAGTCTCTTCTTCCCCTTAGAATACCACTTTCAGCAGGCAGGGAGTCAGAGTGGAGTTAGTGGCAGTGTCATGCCTGCCTCATGGTAAGGGATCTTTGGTTAATAGGTGAGAAGGATTTTATCCCTCACACACGAAAGGAGTGTGACTTTGTTCCTGAAGTCTGCTAAACTTCATACACTCATATGTATAGTTTCATACATTACTTTTAGGTCCTTGGGTCCCCAGAACTCCCTCTGCTTCCCATGCAGACTACAGGAAAATTCCTTTAGCAGCTGAAGACACCAACCCACACACCTACTCAGAGGCCTTTAATTCTATAGCCCAGTTACATCATCTCCACCTCACCATTCAGTCCTCTCCAAACCCTGTTGTTCCCATCCCTCTTACAATACAGAATTCCAATCTTTCAGGCTCTATATTGCAGTCCTCACCAGTTCTTCACTCTTGACCCCAAACCCCTCTGACACAGATCCTTTAATCCAGTTTCCAAATCTCTGCCGCCTTCACCCCTGCATCCCAGTTCAACACCCCAATGCACGCCTCAGATGTCTGCCGTCTCTCAGTCTGAGCCCCCATCTCCCGCATTCCATCAGGCACTGTGCCGCCCTCAAACCCTACTCCCTCCTTTCTTACCCACTCCATGCCATGTGCTGCTTTCAAACCTTAGCCTGATTCCTTCTTTTTGCTAACAAGATACTGCTTCCCAATGACTCCCCCAAGAATTCACCCCCTCAATCTTCCCCTGATCCCACTCCGGAAAATCCTTTCTCTTTAGTACTCAAGATCGTACGAGACCCTGTTCCCTCTGATCTCAGATCTTGCGCCACCCCCTCCCATGATTAGCACCCCCAAATTCCCTAAAATCTCTTTAGATTCTGCACCCCAAATCTCAAAACCCCCCAGTTCCTTCAGAATTTCTGAAATTCTGCACCCAGATGCCGCCAGGGCCCTCAGATTCCCTCCCACCTCCCAGACGCTGCACCCCGTCTCTCTGAGCCCCCACATTACCTCATACCTCCCGTGATGCTGCGACCGCGAATCTTCTCAGAGCCCCTCGCTCCCCTCCCCCAGCTGCATCTCCTCGGGTCTCCTCAGGCCCACCGAATCCCTCCCGAGCCTGCCCCTCACAGCCCCACCCCCACCCCGGTCCTTCCCCTCAGATCCGGTCCCCAGACCCTGCCATTCGGGCGTGGGCCGGCCGCTGCACGCCAGCAAGGTCCCCCGCCCCGCTGCTCAGCCACCGCCCGCGACCCCGGCCGCTCTCCCTTGTCCCAGACCCTCCTTCCCGCCCCCTACCTGACCGCCCGCAGCTCCAACGCGTCCACCGCCGCCAGCCCACCCTCCCGCTGCCTACTGCGCACGCGCTATAGCGTGGCCCTTATCGGCGCCAATTCGCAGAGCCGCCTGTCTGTCAGTGTATCCCCGCCCCCACCGCTCCCTGAGGCATGCTGGGACTTGTAGTCCAGTGGGCCCGAGCGCTCGGGGCCTGGCGACCTGGTAGGGGCGGGCTCTCTGGTAAGAACTGAGGGCTTTAGCAGCACGTCATCCAGCTTTCTGTCCCCTTTGTACAGACGAAGAAACTGAGGCTCAGAGGCGAAAGGGGCCTGTTCACTAAGCGAGTCGGGAGCTAAGCCAGAACGCGTGTCTGACTACAAACTCAGTATCTTAACCCCATCTCTAACCGTGTTCTCTTGGAGTGGTCCTCAACAAAGCCTTGGCACCTCGTAGAAAGGCCTCTCTCGACCTCAGCTTTCCATCTGAGAAATGGGCAAAGGAAGAATAAGACTCACTGTGGGGCAAGCACAGAACCTGGACTCCCTCGGAAGGACAGTGCCTCGGGCCCTGTATTTCTCCTTGTGACATACCACTCCTGCTAGAGACGAGTTTATCTGATGAACAAATTGCTGAGATTTTACCTACTCAGCTGCGAGGCCAACAGCAGAGGAAGATACGGGGAATACCCTCCGCAGCTTCTGTCCCTGCACACTGACACTACCCAGGAACCAAACCCAAGCCTAGCTTTGGAGAGGTAGCGGGGGAGTCTGGCCAGGTGAGAGGTGGTCTGGCCTACCGGATGGCCAGAACCTTCATCCCTGAGGTAGTTTAGGGTCAATTGCCTTCTCCTGAAGGTAACCATATTCTATACCTTAGGAGGACAAGGGAGTTTGAAGTAGGATAGGCTTGGATTTGAAATTCCACTTAGCTATGTGACCCTGCACAATGACAAAATAACAGAAACAATTACAAAACTAGCATCTTTTACACTTGCTGTCTGGCTGCAGCCAAGCACTTCATGCCTATACCTCACTTAATCCTCATAAGGACCTTCTGAGATAAAGCAACTGATGCCTACCTAGGCCACCTCTTCATAAGAGGAGCCCAAATTTGAAACCAATTCTATTAACAACCCACCCCCTTAGCCTGGTTTAATCTCTCTGCTCATTTCATCTCTAAGTGAAGATGAGATTTGCTATGAGAATTAATTGAGCTTATAAATGGTTTGTACTTAATGGTAACTTTTTAATTAGCTCTTAGAACTTCTTAGACTACAGGTTCCATAATGCCCAGTCCCCAATATTTCAGGTATTGAGGGCAATAGGAAGCTGGGTTGGCATACTTCATGGCATTGTTTGAACAGGCTCGGAGATTCTGGACTGCTAGGTTGACATAGGACTCTGGCAATATCTGCAGTCGCAGTCCAGGACCAAGTGGGGAACAGGCAGGCCCAGAATAGGTTGAGTCAGAACTAGATAGAGAAGGGAGCTCACTGAGGCACTGAGGGCCCAGAGCAGATTTTGCTCAAAATTGGCACCTGGTGGGTGCAGACAGAACCTTACAGGGACAGGGCAGGAGGAGTGCTTGCTTCTCCCACCTTCCTCTTCCTGGGCTCCTGGTAACTGTGGTGTGTTCACTGAATGAGGCCTTGCAATTTGATGATTTCTCACGAAGCACATACCAAGTTGGGCTTTAATTATCCACTTACCTAACATCTCCACGGGTGAGCTGTGAACTCCCTAGAGGATTATGGCTGTTTGCAGTCACATCTATTAGCACAGTGCCCAGCATATGAGTTGCTGAGTAGGTTAGACTTGGAAATGTGACCTCAGGCAAATCACATTTTCTGTCCAACCTGGAGTTATTCTAGCTGCAGAATGACTCAGTGGATTAGTCAGGCAAAAGGTAGCCATTTTTGAGCAATGCATCAAGCACTTTATAGATATTGTCGCATGTCACGATTAATGCCCTCAACAGTTCTTTGAATAGATAAGTGGTGGGTCCATGTTACAAAAGAGGCAGCTGAGGCTCAGGAAGATTAAATAACTTGCTTACAGTTGCCACTTGGGAAGTAGAACTATAGAATGGTCCCAGGCCAGTCAGGCCCATGAAGTACTCAGAACCACCATCAAAATCCTACCCATAGTTTATGACAGCAACCATCTTTCTATTTTATCGAGTGGGTTTATTTGTAAGACTCAAAAGAGAGGAGAGATGGCAATGATAAGGAAGTCATGGAATATGTGGCAAAGCATGGCTGTCATGCTGACTACACAGTGTAATCCTGTCTAGGCAAGATTCTCAGGTGAGCTGTTCTGAGCAGCATCACCAGACAAGAGTGAGAATTTCCTTGCGGCTTGTTCCACTAGAATAGCAGAGGGGTCCTCTGGACAGGAGCCTGTGGTATCTCTACCAGCTGCTGTGTTGCAGATGGGAGATATGGGAGAGTTGCTGCCAAATGATTTCTGATTTATACTCCCTTTTCAGACCAGGTAGGGAGACTTAGCACCCTGTTTGCTGAAAACCACAATTACCAACCCAAAGTCTCAATTCAGGAATGTTTGTGTGTTTTTACACGTGTAACTGAAGCATGCCTTAAAAAAAAAAATCTGTGTTTGTTTAACTGTCTTTTTTTTTTTTTTAGTGTTTAAATTACTCACCAGTTAAATTAATTACCACACTTCCCACAAAATCTCAGAGTAAAATAAGCAGTCTGGGGAAATGTACTCATTTTTATCCTGTAGCTTTGCATGCCCTGGCACAATGTTAGCATTCCTCTTAAACAGACATTTAAAAAATATGCTTTGTGGAGCACTTTAAATACTCTTTATTCAGCATTTTAATATAATGGTTTTTTATTTAACATTTAAACCACCTGTGTCAGTTTCCTAGGGCTGTGGTGACAAAGTACCACAAACTAGGAGGCTTAAAACAAGAGAAATTTATTTTCTAGCTGTTCTAGGAGGATAGAAGTCTGGAAAAAAGGTGTCAGTAGAGCCATTCTTTCTCTGAAGCCTCTAGGGGAAGATCCTTTGTTGCCTCTTCCAGCATTTGGTGGTTGCAGGAATTCTTGGCTTGTGATAGCATATCGCAAATCTCTGCCTTCAGATGGTTATCTCTGCCTTCACAAGGCATTCTCCTGGGTGTATATGTCTGTGCCTTCTTATTGGATTAAAAGCCCGACCCACTGCAGTACTTATGTTGGAGGACAGGATCTGGGAGTCCCGATGGTCAGCCTCAATCCACTCTGTCCCCTTACCAAGTCCTTGACTCTGCCACAGGAAAGAATTCAACAGCAGAGTCACAGTAGAAAGTGAGAACAGGTTTAATGTAACAAATAGGAGATAGAGATTTCACAGAGAAAGTATAGCCTAACTCCAGAGATTGAGCAGGGCCCACACCAAGTTTAACACAAAAGTAAGAAATACACACTTAAAGTTTAGTACAGAGTGCAGGCTGGCTCAAGGTAGTGAGCAGCCACCCGCTAAAAAGTAAGCTGAACACAGAAGTAAAGCATACATATCTCAGCCAGTGAAGTGCTGGTAGGCCCCAGGAAAGCGAGTAACAACTCCTCTTTCTGCAGGGATTTGGCTTTTATAGTTTCACTACTCAATACATATTCATACTCTCGTGAATATTCAGTTAAGGGGATGGCTCTCTGTAATGTAACATAGCCTTGCACGTGCTCAGTTGGTCTCTTTTCAGAGCATGTTCATTGGTCACATCACATTGTATGCACCAGACATAGTCAAGAATATTCTGTGCCCAACCACTGGATTTACATAAGACTGCTGCTTGTGGTCTCAATTTCCCTGTGTTAGTGCCAAAAATATGTCTAACTAGCAACAGTAGCTTTCCTGTAGGGGAGGGACAAGAGGAGGGGCCTGAGATCTTGGGGAGTGGCTTGAAACCCAGAGGTATGTCCTGAAACCCAAACCCAGGGAAACTGAGCACTTTCTGTATCAGTATGACATCATCTTAAGTGATTACATCTCGACCTTATTTCTAAATATGGTAACATTATAATGTATTAGGGATTAGGCTTTCAACATATCTTATTGGGGGACATAATTCTACTAATAATGCCACCTGATGAGCCAAATATTGTTTTCTTTATAAAGAATATCTCTAGTTCTCTTTCATTCTTTTTAAAAAAGGGTTAACAGTAGCTAACTCAGGATTGTTGGGAGCAAATTGAGATACTGAATTTAAAACACTTTGCACCTTGCCTAACATGAGTAATGTTCATTATATTGCATTTGTTATTATTATAAACTAGTTTACTTATTAAGTACACTGTTGTATAGAAAGAGGGAGTGCTTTAGAATCAGGCAAAACCCCAGCTCCACCCACCTGGAAGGTTATTTTGAGGAATAGAGAGATGATCTGCAGTAATGCTTGGTAACTTGTTAAAACTGACAAGCTTTGTAAGCTTAGGCAACTTACTAAGCCTCCCTGTACCTCATATCCCTTCTCTGCAAAATGGAGACAATGATATTCTACCACATAGAAAGGTGAATATTAGATGTCTTTATAGATCTTAAGAGTTTAGAGCACTGCCTTATAAAGAATAAGTGCTCTGTGAATATTAGCCATTATTATCATTATTAATATTGTTGTTGTTATCACTATTCTCAACAAAATAGTCCTCTTTTCTTCTCTCATTAGCAACTGAATTCCAAGAGGGAAAAGAAATGTCTTGCTTACAAAATATAGGAGAGAAAATGCAAGGAGTTAAAACTCTAATATATCCTAACCAAATTTGTCTGAGCCTAGAAGTGTATAATTACTATAATTTTCATGAAATAATATAAAATTATATCTATCTATTTGTATTATGAGGGTATGTCAAAAAATTCATGGAAAGATTTGTATTATCTTTCAGTTATATTTTTCCACCAACTTTTTGATGCACCCTCCTATTTATCTATCACTGTACAGCAAATTACCCTGAAAACGTTGCTGCTTAAACAGCACACATTTGTCTCACAGTTCCTGTGAGTCAGGAATCCAAGCACAGCCTAGCTGGGGCCTCTGCTTC